ATCCTGCTAAGGGTGTTCGGCATCTTGTGCTTACTTCCTTGCGTACGGATGACAGCTGCGTATGACTTTATTTTTTTTCTGGCGCTTTCACTTCCAGAGAGTGTTATAAGCACTGCCTCGAGGGTGCTTGACCATTTTAACACAATGTGGTGCGATCATCCCCCTTGCGCGGAGTGAGGGTTCTCCACCCCGCACAACATGATCTACTCGACCACCACTATGGTTACCGCCAAAAAAAAAAAGAGGTAAAAAAAAAACGGTAACCAGGTTGCCGAGTTCTTGAAGTGAATTGGCTTGTTTTACAACGTCGTTGCCAAGAGACGAAAACCCAATCCCGATGGCAAACACCGAGGGGGGGGGCTTGTTTTACAACGTCGTTGCCAAGCGACGACAACCCAACCCCGATGGCAAACGCCGGGGGGGGCTGGCCTCGCTGGGGGGGTCGATTTTCATGATCATGTTCGTGGACAGCTTCTCGCGGAGGATGAAGCTGTACGGGATGAGTCGCAAGTCGGACACCCTCGCCTTCGTCAAGAAGTTCCTCGCCGACGTGGGTGGCACCGGTGTCCCTCGCTCTTTCCGGATGGACAACGGGGGGGAGTTCGTCAGCCGCGACTTCATCGCCTTCTGCGATAATGCCGGCATCCGCCGTACGTACACGGTGCCGGGCACCCCGCAGCAGAATGGTCCGGCGAAGAGTGCGATCTGGCGCGTGAGCAAGGTNGATCTGGCGCGTGAACAAGGCCGGCCACGCCGCTCGTCTCGAGGCACCCCGCCTGTTCCCCAAGATCGACTTCACCCGCGTCCCCGGCTTCGGGCGCGATGGCGAGCGACTCTGGCTAGAATCGTGTCACTGGGCTGCCGGCGGCTTCAACCGTTCTCCGACCAAGGCAAACGTCGGGTACAAGTCGCCGCACGAGCTCTTCACCGGTCGCCCGCCCCCGCTCCAGATAGTCCCGTTCTTAGAGTCGGGGTACATACGTGTGATGCGCGCGCGGCAGATGGATCCCCAGGCAGTGCTGTGCTGCTACCTCAAGATCGGCGACAACCATCACGAGTCGGCGANGGTCGCCCGCCACCGCTCCAGATCGTCCCGTTCTTGCAGCCGGGGTATATGCGTGTGACGCGCGCGAGGAAGATGGATCCCCAGGCAGTGCTGTGCTGCTACCTCAACAACGGCGACAACCATCACGAGTCGGCGGTCAAGGTCCTCAAGTTCGCGACGGGGCGCGTGTGCATGACGAACAACGTCGTGTGGGTCTCCGACCGCGCGCCGTTGCTGACCCCGCCGCTGGAGATGCCGGCGCCGGCGGGCAAGGGGGGGGATTCGAATGTCGCCACCGCACCGTTTCTAACTGAGTACATTTCACCGCCTCTTTTACCCCCCTCACCGTTCGCCCGATATCCCACTTCACCCGCTGCCACATTCTCACAGGCGCCGCCGGCAACTTCCCCACCACCATCGCCGGCGGCGCCGTCTACCGCAGCCACACCATCGCCACTGGTCACCGGGCCACCTGAAACGCCGCTTGCCGCCGCGCCACCGTTCACCACCACCGCGCCGCCTGCAACGCCGTTCGCCGTCGTGCCACGTCTCCCGCCGTCGCGCCGCCCGGTGCCGTGCCATCGACCAACATGCCGCCGCTCACTACGAGGACCATCCGTGAACTGGACGTGGAGATNACCGTTCACCACCACCGCGCCGCCTGCAACGCCGTTCGCCGTCGTGCCACGTCTCCCGCCGTCGCGCCGCCCGGTGCCGTGCCATCGACCAACATGCCGCCGCTCACTACGAGGACCATCCGTGAACTGGACGTGGAGATCGGGGACATGAGGGTTTCTGGGCGCACAAGGGCAGCCGCTAAGGACCAAGGGGGCGGGGCGGGCGTCGTCGATGCTGCCCCTCTCTGCCAGGGCCAATCGAGAGCTGGACTTGGGACGAGAGACACGGGTGACAAGGAGATTGAGAGGTCGGGGGGTGCGTTTCCAGGGTGGGGGGGCCGAGCGGTCGACGTCACCTGGCGGGAGCGGCGACGCTCCCGCACACCGCTTCGGGCTTGTATCCCTGCAGGACAAGGCAACACTCCAGTCTACTCTCACCACTCGCAGCGTCGTCGATAGGGGGAGAAAAGAAATCCCGAGTTCAGCCGGAGGACGTGAAGGAGCGGAGCCGGGGGGGCGAGAGCGGGGGGGTACGAAAACAGAAGGACTGCGTGAAGAAGTCCCATTTGCGTGCGCCACCTTGCTTGCCTCCCGCGAGGACATTGCTCGCACGATGAGGGATTTAACCCCCCCGGAAGTGGCACCGATCTTGCCACATTGCTATGCTAACGACTTGCGCGTGCCCAAAATGTAGAGGGAGGCTGTGTCCTCTGAGAATGCTGACTTACTTGCGGATAGACTCTGTAGAGAGGGAGTTCAGAGGTCTGATGGAGGCTGGTACTTTTGAGGAAGTAATGCAGTAACCAGAGAGTGTCATCAAGGCCAAGTGGGTGTTTAATTGGAAGTCTGATGAGTATGGTTGGCCGACTAGTGTGAAATCACGGCTAGTAGCGAGAGGAGATACACAGCGAGTACATGTAGATTGTGGAGAGGCGTATGCACCGACTGTAGCAGTTTCTAGCGTTCGCTTGTTGGCAGCGATGGCGTGTGAGCAAAATCTTTCTCTTCGTCATTTTGACATCAAGCAAGCATTTGTACAGTCGGATTTGGATGAGGATGTTTTCATGCGTCTGCTAGAGGGATGTGGTAGATTGTCAGGCATGATAGTGAAGTTGAACAAGAGTCTGTACGGCCTTAAGCAGGCATCAAGGCAATGGCATTCACGCTTAACGAGGTGTTTGATTTGTTTGGGTTTTATTCAATATCTGGCGGATACGTGTGTGTTTGGGTTGATCGAGGAGGGAAGAGTGGTAGTGACTCTGGTAGTACATGTGGATGATATTTTTTCGATTGGAGAGGAGAGGTGTGATCAATTTGGTAGGGACCTCAACACCATGGTACCGGTGAAGAATCTTGGGGACTTGAGATGGTACTCTGGATGTTTTTGTGAGAGAGACTGGGATGCAGGTATTCGACATATTACTCGTAGCATAGCATGNCAGGGGGGCTATTCGATATACTCGTAGCATAGCATGGGGGTGGTATATTGCGTATACATATGCGGGATTTGCAGTGACGAACTACGGAGGAACAATATGTTTCTTTATGTTTTCCTTCGGAGTGTGGTAGATTGGTGGACATTCATGGAGATTCGTTTTGGGTGTTTGAGCGTTATGCGTGACTTGATGCCGTGATGGAATGACGAGCTCAAGCACGCCCCCGATGAATACAACACGTATACAACACGTTTTCCAACACGTCTGCACGACGTTACCTACCCCTACGGCCCGTAATGGCCGAGCTGCTCTAGACTCCCATCGCACACAACTGAGCCACCCGAAATATCGATCAGCAGGGACTTTGAAGATCTCACAGCAGAGTACGCTGAAGAGTTGGGGATGGAGTTTGGGGTAGAGTACGGGAAGGAAATTCCTCTTCCTGTAGGGTTGAAGCTTTCAGAGTTTGACCAGGATGAGAAAGTGTATCATGGCCTTTTCGTGAGCTGATAGGATCGCTGATGTGACTAGCAACGCAAACGAGGCCAGATATCGCGAATGCAGTAAGAGCGGTAGCACGGTACTCTGCTTCTCCCAAAGAAATTCATTGGAGAGCAGGTCTTGGCATTTTGGGATATGTGGTAAGGACTAGTGACTTGGGGATTACATTCAGGAGGGGTAGTGTAGCAGGGCTGAGCACGGAGGTGTTCGCAGACGCAGACTATGCAAGCAAGGCTGCCGATAGGAGGTCTGTGTCAGGAGGCTTGATGATGTGTGGGGGGGGATGTTTTTCTTGGTTTTCAAGGACGCAAAAGTGCGTTACGTTAAGCACGACAGAGGCGGAGTAGATATGCCGTGTATTCCGGTGTTCGAGGATAACCAGGGGCNTAAGGACTAGTGACTTGGGGATTACATTCAGGAGGGGTAGTGTAGCAGGGCTGAGCACGGAGGTGTTCGCAGACGCAGACTATGCAAGCAAGGCTGCCGATAGGAGGTCTGTGTCAGGAGGCTTGATGATGTGTGGGGGGGGATGTTTTTCTTGGTTTTCAAGGACGCAAAAGTGCGTTACGTTAAGCACGACAGAGGCGGAGTAGATATGCCGTGTATTCCGGTGTTCGAGGATAACCAGGGGCCTATTCAGTTGGCGCAAAACCCGATTAGCAACAGTAACTCGAAGCACATCGACGTAAGGCACCACTTTATCAAGGAACTGGTAGGCAGGAAGGAGATTTCGATTTTTCACGTGGAATCGGCGTATCAACATGCTGACTTCCTCACGAAGGCCCTTAATTTCGTGACGAATAAGTAGACTATGGGGCAGGAACGGTAGACTTGGATTTATTTGTGTTTGATCAAAGAACTAGGGTGGCATGGTTTTACATTTTTGCCTATGGTTTTCTCAATGAATGGTGTTCTAGGCTGGGGGGCAATTGGATCGCTATTATTGTCATCGAAGAACTATAACTGGAATGATATTTCTAGCCCAGAAGGCTATTGTTGCAGATTTGAGTTAGTTGTGTGTTTGGAGTGTATTTTCTTGTGTTTTGGAGTTAGTTACTGAAAGATCATGAAGACATGGCACATAGTCACAAGCAGGGGGGCTGATAGGTTTATATTTTTTTCTCCCATCATTGGACTCTGTCGTCTGCCCCTCTGGCCCCTATCCTCCACTTCTACCAGCTAGACGACCCAACCGGGGTCACATAGGAGGGGGGGGTTGGACCCCCTCCTGCGGTTTCTGCCTGAGGTACTTTTATCGCGAGAAGGGTACAGCAATCCCTTCCCTCGCGACTTACGAAGTCGATTATGGTTTACTATCAACCGAGCTTTGCAGCGCGTCGCTTTCATCCTAGACCAGGATTTATTTAGTGAGAAAAAAACTCACTCTGCCGGGACTCGAACCCATAACCTGGCCCTTAGCAGGCTGCGAGGCTACCCACTAGACCACCGGGGCGACCGGATACAAATATACTGGTAGCAATGCCAAGTGGTTGGTACGGGATGTGACCATGGAACGAGGTAGAGCGGGATACCGGGCGACATGTGTGGTACGTAGAATGGATCCCAGGGATGTACAAGGTACCCCTGTTGTATACGGCGTTGCCCCCTCAACGGGGATTTTGTGTGTGGATGTGGATGCAACTAATCACAACAAGTTTTTCTCCTCGGCGCGAGCTCGCCGAGTTGCCGATACCCTATTCAACACACCACGTCTTGCGACAAGCTACCCCCAGTTCGGATTATCCTAACAGCCCACCGCTCACCCCGCGAGTAGCCCCTCACCCCTTCGAGAGTGGTTATTATCTTGCAGCTGTCGCGTTTGGGGGCCTCTGATCCTACACCACATAGAACGGCGGGTTCGTTCTTGTCCTTAACACCACGTCCGGCCTGAGCACGCACTCACGTGTTGTTGTTATTATTATTATGTGGTCAATTTCTTTGATTGTTATTGATTTTTTTCGAGGCCGCATTTCTTAACTGCCAAGTTCATAAGTGCGAACGCCATCTTTATCTTCTGATCATGATGTGCCGGAAGAAACATAGACATGGGCCTACTCTACTTGATGTATATATTGTTGCGTAGAAACACGCACGGCAACGACCGGGGGGCAAAGCAAAGACTGAGAAAAAGAGAGAGAGTAGGCGATGATATACTAAATACATACGCTGCCTCTTTCTGTAAAAGTCAATACGACAACACGCACGTACGTACGTACGTCTGTCTCCTAAAAATATATAATAATAGTGGTCGAATAGTCTACAGTATTATTACATAAGAAATCTCTACTGAAAAGAATTGCGCGCTCAGCATTAAATAACTATATACTTCGTATATATTTTGTTGCTGCTGTGGAACAAAAAAACTTAGCTGAGCAAAAATTTGCCATTGAACGATTGGTAATGGAAGTCATTACTCGGAGTTTCTGCTTTTTGCGTGGGGGGGACGGCAGAGCGAGTGTGCTCTTATCGGCCGCGTGGGTGGTGTTGCCACAATTAATTGTTCCCGCCCCCATCACTATAGATTCATGGAATTTGCGAGTAAGACGTGACGGGCCATAGAAACACGTGCTCAGTCCCGACCTGGTGTTGAGAACAAGAACCCGCCTTTGTGGTGTAACGATGTGCTTGCCGATAAGAGCAGAGCCCCAAAACACGGCAGCTGCAAGATAAGAACTCACGAAGGGGTGAGGAACTACTCACGAGGTGACCGGTGGGCAGTTGCAGATCAGCGGCGAGGAGCGGGGGGGCGTAATCTTATGTTTCTTACGATATCCCTTCCCGCCTTTTCAACCCACCTCCTATACCCCAGTACAGGTACCGTCCTTTCCTCTCTATTCCATTCCTCAAACATCTCCCTGTACGTCCCATATATTTTTCCCAGCTCAGTCACTTACACTTCCCTCTCCATCTTATACCACGGACATTCCGCGGCTACATGAACACGGTCTTTGCATTCGAAGCCGCACTCACATTTGAACTCGTCGTCTTCGTCGTCTACAGTCCTATTATGTCTTCGTCGACGTTCTCGAAGGCCTATGTCCCCGGTCCTGACTTTGACCTTAAGCTTTGTTCCTGCATCCATTGATCCANTACAACCTTGACCCATTCCGTGGGTTGTCTACCCCTCTTTTTGTTTGCCCACTTCGCCTCCCATACAATTCTCGGCAACCTCTCCTCTCCCATCCCGCACATGCGATACCTACTGTATAAAGCCGAGTGACAGCTCGCCCAACTTTTCAACCGTACACCAATCGTACAAAACACTTGAAAATACTATGGCACGACTCTGTACGATACGTGGACGAAACGACAGCCACACGTTTTCGTACAAAAAAAGTGGACGATTGGGTGTCCGATTCAACGCCCCCTCTAAACTGCCTAACTACGCTCCGTGGCATCTCTTCGCGTCCCCCGTAGGCACCTGCTGTGTCGTTTTTGCTCGGAAAAATGTGGTGGGGTGGACAACGGGGGGCGGGAGCGCAAACGTGGCGCATTTCATGATCGTCACGCCAAGGGGGGCCGAGGAAGCCGTCGAGGGGGGCCCGTGGGTGCTAGAATGTGGGCGCGGGCGCCACAGAGCTGCACGTGCTTCGATTTCTCTCGTTTTTTTCAGTGATGGGTAGGGAACGGCCAGATGCACTTCTTGTGTCAACTTTCATGGGCGTCATAGTTCTTGGGCCCGCGCACAGCAGTGTGAAGTTTTTTTTTACTGCTGTAAATCTTTACTTGGGGTTTGAAAATCGGCACCAACTCCGATTGCCTTCGTTTTCTTTCAATTGCTTGTCACAGGGCAGGCGCACACGTGTGCAAAATATCAGGCCCGACGGGAAAGATGGGGACTATAGAAGCTGAAATCAACCCATTAGACTAGTCAGCCGCTGACTAGTCTAATGGGTTGATTTCATCTTCTATAGAAGTACGTCGTGGGTTCCACACCCAGTTGGTGCACTTTTTTCTGGAAACGTTCGACTCTTGCGAGAGTGAGAGAAGGAAAAAAGCTCGTCGTCGGAGACCCTGGACATCTATTCTAGAACGGATGTGGGTGATGAGTCGAGAATAACGGAAGTGAAATAGACATTGGATGGATAGTAGCGGCTGGCGAGGGGAGCATCCCTCCTCGGAAGGAAAGTGTCGGGTTCATCGAGCCCCACGACGTACTTTTATAGAAGCTGAAATCAACCCATTAGACTAGTCAGCCGCTGACTAGTCATGGGTTGATTTCAGCTTCTATACAATCTCCTGTCGCTCTGGGAGCGTGCTGTTGCGGAGGGTCAGAGCCATGTCTCTCGTTATCTCGCCCGAGTTCCAGCACATCCTTCGTATCCTCAACACCAACATCGATGGCCGCCGCAAGGTGCAGTACTCGCTGACCTCCATCAGGGGAGTGGGTCGCCGTTTTGCCAACCTTATCTGCAAGAAGGCTGAGGTTGACCCCAACAAGCGGGCCGGAGAGATGACCGCTGACGAGATCGAGAAGCTCGTGGCGATCATCCAGAATCCCCGCCAGTTCAAGATCCCTGACTGGTTCCTCAATAGGCAAAAGGACTGGAAGACCGGCAAGACCACCCAGATCTCGTCCCAGACCATCGACCAGAAGCTTCGAGATGACCTTGAGCGGCTGAAGAAGATCCGCTCCCACCGTGGTATCCGCCACTACTGGGGCGTGCGCGTGCGCGGCCAGCACACCACGACCACCGGACGCCGCGGAAAGATCGTGGCGGCAGGCGGTCGGAAGTAAACCACGACGTACTTTTATCGAAGCTGAAATCAACCCATTAGACTAGTCAGCCGCTGACTAGTCTAATGGGTTGATTTCAGCTTCTATAGGACGCGTGAAGCAGTGCGGTGTTTCGATGCACCACTGATGTACACATCACAGATGGTTTCGGGCTTTAAAAATCGGCATCAACTCCGATTGCCTTCGTTATTTTTCCAAGAGCTTTGTTTGAATAGGGCGTTTACGCGTGCAAAATTCAGGCCCGATGGGCAGCGTGGTTAACGCCGGTGCAGCAAAACGTTTACACTTTGGGCTATACTTGTGCCATTTAACACTGCATCTTGCTGTAAAAATCGACATCTCCCCTGATTTTGTTGTCTCTCGGTAATGTTCAAGACGCGGCCGCACCTCTTGCAAAAAATAGGAGTGAGTGCAATCTGACACTTTCGCGACGAGATATTGATTGAAACGTGCTCGAATCAAGGAAGGGGTGGTGGTGCTGTCTTACGTTCAATTGTGTCAATTCAACCATAGGGTGAGGGACAATAAACGAGGTCCTCAAACAGGACTCAAACACAAAAAAAAAGCGCAGGGGTGGCTCGCAACACACTTTAGGACCACTTTCCCTTCGGTTTCGGACAGTGGAGGTATGTCCCGTTGCCTACACACGAACTTTCGAATTCTCAAATGCGCGCCACGGGCGGCCGCGTGGCCGAGCGGCCGAGAGAGCAGTGTACACGCAACCCCGCCAAGTTGGCACGAGCGGAAACAAAGAACACCCACCTTTCGTTTCCGACGAGCACTGGTCTCGGTCCGCTGCTGTCTCGCTGCTCCGTTGTGGTCTCCCAAGCTGTGGTGTGTGGACTGTGAGAACGGGGACCCGGGTGCACACGATCATTTCATATGTACGTACAGCAGTAGTGCCGGCCCGCACTTGAGAATATGGCACTTAAGAATTTGATGCTAATAAAACCCAAAACTTAAGAACTTACCGATAAGAACACGTGCTCAGCTGCACGCCCTGTTAGGAACAAGAACACACACCTGAGGTGCCCCCCGTCCCCGGGTCCCCGTTCTCACAGTCTGGGGAGGGGAGGGGCAAAATGAGCCACTGTGCATCCGATTTTCAAGTAATTTTGGGGCATTGGGGCATTTTGGGGCATGCCCCAATTTTGTTGTTGTTGTTGTTGACTTCACATTAAACCGTATGCCAGTTGCTAAATGCCAAAATCTAGCAAAGACTCTTGGCCCGTGGTCACGAAAGTGCTAGAGCCATCTGAGGATCTAAAGAACACGCACACGTAGCAAGAAAAANCTACACGTCCGTCTCACCGTTCGACTACAGCAACATCACCCCCTCCCTGTTCCACTCTGTGCCAAAACGAATCATTCATTGCGGACTACAGCATACTTGCTGTCTGAAGTGCTGTCTGTACAAAATCACCAT